CTGTCGGGTTGCCTGCAACTCACAGCGATGCTACTGGACAGAGCAGAACTGCCCACGGGGTTTCCAAGGCTGTAAATCCTAGAAAGCAGACTGCCTTGTCTTTCTTCCACACAGTAGCTGGTGGGTTCACACCTACCCTTTGGTTAGCAGCTGACTGTCTAGCCACTGTGCCACCAGGGCTCCTGCATAATTCAAGTAATGAAGTCTTGAAAATTTGATAAATCAAAGTGTGTTGACTGGACAGCATATTTATACAATTTTACCACCTGTAAAGATTTAAAGCACTATTTTTGTATAGTGGATTTCAGTTGGCTAGTCACTCCAATTATCCTTCCTAAAATGTACCCTCTGTGAAAGTCATCAGACAGCAAAAATTTATATTGACTATCAGGAGGAAAATATGAAAGGCCAAGACACAGACTTAAGATATTTTTTGCCACTATAGCGATGTTGGTGATATGGTTCTAACAGAACGAAACCCTATCCCTCATTTTCCTACCAGTATTTACATTCAGAGAACACAATCATTTCACGGTGTGGCAGCACAATGCCTAGTATGACAAAGACCTACCCTAGGAAACCAATGCGGAGGGAGCTATAGCCACAGTACTCCAGCTTGAAAAGGGCCCTACAGATCACCTGGGTCCTTTCTCTTCTTTACTGAAGAAACGGAAGCCCAACATGATTTGTAGACTCGATCAAAACTCTGGACAATTGTTGGGCTTCCGTTACATGATTAAAGAACATGTATCAAGTCATGCAAAGTAGCAGAATAAAAACCCCTGTCACTGTATTGTTTCGGATCTTTACAGGGGCAGACAGCTGTCATTTTTTTTCTGCAGAGAAGCTTGTGGGTTTGAACTCCCAATCTCGTAGTTGGCAGACAAATCCAAAAGTGCCTACCAGTTCTCCTTACAAGTAGCAGAATGGGTAACAAATACCTTACTCTCAATTCCTACGCTCTTTTCATTGGCTATCAATGTGCCTTACAAACAAACCTTCCAATACAGCAGAAACATTTTTCACAGCCAAATGTCTATCAGGTTCCCTATCATACCTTTTAAAGTTTTTAAAACTTTTTTAAAAATGCATTTCATACAAAACCAAAAAATCATGAGCACAGCCTTTAATTAAAAATAAAAAAACCACTCTCTCCTACCTGATTCCTTTTCTCTAGATGTGACCAGAAGTGGTGGCAAGCCGTGCTCATCAGAAGGTAGAAGACTAATCTTATTGGAAACATACTTATCAATCCAAGACAGTAAATTATAATGTGAAATACCACCAGCAGGTAAATCACTGTTTACCATGACACCACCAGAAGGACTAGATGGCTGCTTGCTTTCTGCAAAAACATCATTGTTTAGTACAAAAGAACCAGGAGAAGGGAGCCCTTCAATTCCTGTGCTGATAGGCAGTTTCTCCACAGATATATCCTGAGGAATAGGCTTTTGAATAACTTCATTTATTGTATTATCTGCTATCTCATTTGGTTTATCCTCTGTAGAATGAGCATAATCCACTGTATTTACCATCTGTAAAATAGAGAATTTTT